TTCGGCTTTTTGGTCATCTCACCAGAGGGCGGCGCGCTCCCGCTCCCGCAATCACCGCGGGCCGCGAGCACGAGCGACGAGCGGCCCCCGACAGGTTGCCGCCGTCGTGGGGCCAGCGCTGCCACATTGCCAACGTGGTCACATTGCAGTTGCAGTGCCGCCGCCAGCGGCGCCACCACAGCGCCCCGTCGTTGCCGCCCCCCCTTCGGTCATTTATCTGGCGCGATCAGGGGGCCGCGCGCGGCATGCAGGCATGTTGCGCCTGGGCCTGCGTGCAGTTTGCACACCGGTGCAGCGCCTGATTTTGTAATTGTTGTCAATATGTCTGCCCTCGTCTGGACATATGCGCCGCGCCGCGCCTTGGAGGGCCAGGGCCGAGACGGACGCGCTCTGTTTGTTTTGTGCCAGCCTTGGGACTGAGCGACTGAGCCCCCAGCCTGCAGACCTTCTGGCTGGCCCGATCCATTGCCGTCCATGGGCATTGGGCCGTGGGGCCATGGGGGCATGGCATGGGATGGGCACTTGGCAATTGAATTGGCCATGGCGCCGCGACCGTGCCCGTCGGGCCGTCGGCCAGCGGTTCGTTGCAATCATCGGTTTCGGTTCCATTTGGCAGACCAGAGGCTGTAGTAATTGTAGTTAGTAAGTAAGTGCTAGGTAGCCCTTGCGCCTTGCGCCCTTGCGGCCTGGGGCCCAGCGCCCCAACGCATGTGACTTTAGCCGAACTTTAGCCTAACTTTAGCCCTCGGGCAGGGGCCGGGGCCGAGGCCAATCTGCTTTTTTGATTATCCTTGTCGCGCCGCCCGTTGGCGTCGACGTCGCGCGCGCTGGGGGCGACGGGCCCGAGGCCCCCCGCGGCGTCGGGCATCGGGCGGGCCCCGGGCCCGGCCAACAGGCGGGAGGCCAGAGCGCAGCCAACAGGCGCGGAGCCTCCAACTCGGGAGCCAGAGCACGGCCAACAGGCGCGGGGCCTCCAGCCGAGGAGCCCAACGCCCGCAGAGGTTGCAGAGCCGCCCCCGGGAGGGGAGCCGGGGAGCAGATCGGGAAGCACGCGGCGAGGGTGCGCCCGGGGCGGGCGGGTATTTTTTCAGTTTCGGCGTTTTTGTATTTTTGCAAAAAATATAAAAAACGAAACGCAAAACTATTAAAATAGTAAAAAATAGTTTTTTCCCACATGATTTTTCTATTTTTTATAATTATATAAGAAAAATACATCTCCCCGGGAGAACACCTATTTTTCCAGTTCGCGCAAAGAGGGTGGCCGGAGGGATTACCTACTTTTCGGAGACCTGTCAGGATCTAGTTCCCCTTGTTCTCGGCCGTTCGGCTGGCGGCCCTCGGCGCTGAAGACGTCAGTGCTGGGGTGCCAGTTGGCTTGACGGGCCCAGGCCGCGCACTGCGGCGACGTTCTGCGCGAGGCTGGAGGGCGCCGGCCCCGGCGCAGCCCCGGCGAACGCCAAGCCAAGCGCAGTCGGACTCGTCGACGTCGAGCGCGGTCATGTCTTGCACCCAGAGCTTCTGGGCGGGGCATGGGCAGGCCCGGGCGTTGGCCTGGGCCATCGCTGGCGCCATGCTGGTTCATTCCAAGTCCAAGTCGCGCTCGGGCCGATCGGGGGATCCAGCAAATTACGGCACGGCAGACTGCCATTGTGCCATTGTGGCCTGGTGCATGTTGAGTCAGGATGATCCAGGATGGCTTGCTACCCGCAGGGGCGGTGGGTTTACCGTTTACCAGTTCTACAAGTCGGGCAGGCGCTGGCGCCACTGGGGCCGAACTCTTGGCAAACATCCGCGCGTGCGGCATGGCAGGGGCAACGAGCTCGAGCTGGAATCCTCTGATGTGCCTTGGCAGGGTCAATGCTGGCAGCTGCTGGCAATGCTCGCAGTCGGGCAGGCATTGGAGTCGAACTCGGCGTTGCGACATTTTTTGTTTCGTGATGCCCGGTGGGATCCAGCGTGGCAACGCTGATCTCTACTTCGCTTGGAGGCGCTGGAACCGAATTGAGGCAAACCTCATGACTCATGCAAGTCGGCCTGGTGGGAGCAACGAACGCTGCAAATCCTTTCAGGGGGGCCTAGTCACTCGTCACTAGTCCTAGTGACCTAGTGGCAGCGACGCTCGGGCAGGCGCTCGAGTCGCATGTCAGCGACCTGGTTGTGGCAGCTTTGTAGCAGCAGCTAGCAATGCTGATTTCTTCATGGAGTGGGAACAGTGCGACGTGCTCTGGGCGCCTGGTTCATGGGTTCGGGCAAACCACTGTTTGCGCGTTTTCCCAGCATTGCTCCGACGTGCTTTCTGTCAAATAGGTCGCGCGCGTCGCGCGCAGTGCAACGGCAGACGCGACGGCGAGCCCGGCGCACGGCGGCCGCGTCGATTGTTCTGCTCAGGCAGGGGCCAGAACAGGAGAGGGGGAGGATGAGAAGAGTCTTAGAAGGGGTGGGGGGCCGGAAGGGAGGTGGACGAGCAGAGGAGGAAGGCGACGGTAGGCAGGGGTGGGCGAGGACGAGGGGGCGGGGAGGAGGGACGACGGCAGGAAACGACAAAGGAAGGGAAGCAAACGAGGTGGAGGAAGAGAGGAAGCGCTGCACACGATCCGTTCTCTGTTGGTTATATCCACTGCTGCGCGGGATCCGCTGTTTTTGTTGTGAGCTTGTTTGGTTTGCATGCGGTTTTCATATTATTTTGATATTATTTGTGTATTTTGAGCATTTTCGGCAATACGTTGTGAGCCTTTGGGCTGGGTTGTATTAATACAAAAACAATACAGAAATAATACGAGCGATATAGGAATGCCGCCTGCATTTTTATGATATTAATAGAGGGCGGTTTGTTTCTATGTTTTCGATAATAATAGGGGGCAACTTGTTTCTATTTTTTCGATAATAATAGGGGGTTTGCTCTTTTTGAGCTCCTCAGGAGCTTTGCCGGATATAGGCTTCGTGGGATGTCTTGGCGGCCTCCTGGGCAGTAGAGGGCGTGAAGGCTTTTTGGACCGCTAGTTTGGCGATTGGGGGCCCTCGTGGACCACTGCGGGGCCCTCTTGGTAATTTTGGAAGCCCCAGGGGCCCCAGGTTGGGATGCGTATCTGACCCCCCCCCCCGTGACCCCCCCCTGGGACCCACCCAGGGACCCCCCGCCCCAACCCACCCAGGACCCCCTCCCGACGCGGGGGATCAAAAGGAAGGAGTTTTCTCTCGCTGACAGGTTTGAGGAGGAGGGTGCAGGGAAAGGGGACGACGGAGCCGACGACTGACGGAGACGACGACTCGAACAGACAAGCACCTCGCACAGGCGGACAGGTTTGGCACTTTGAGCAGGAATCGCTGTCGATATCGCCGCGTGCGCTGTCCATTTGAGACAGGAGGCTGCCTGGCCAACAGCGGCCGCTGTCGGCTTTGGACGACAATCGGAGTTGGGCATCGTACCCATGTGTTCTGTGCCCAGGTCGGGCGTCCAAAGAGGAGCGTGTCGCCAGCTCCACGCCTCCACAGTGCGGCGCGGTGCGCAGAGCGGGAGAATCGCGCACGGTGTTTGCTGGCTGCTGGTGTCGAGTGCCGTCACCGTGCCAATGTGGCACCTTCTGCGGCGACGCCTTGGTGCACATCCAGCGAATTTGCCAGACCTGTCACCACGTCTCGATGCCCGGCCTCCTCTCTGTTCCACTGTGCGGCCGCGCGGCTCGGCAGATCTTAGCTGCCCATGGCTTGCGCGAACCTGCCAGTGCATGTGAGCCCGCCAGCCTCGAGTCCAGCGCTTGTTTCACTTGTTCCGGGCGCTAGGAACGAGGGAGTCCTATCGCTGTCTTCATTCAGGAGTGCGTCGAAGTTTTTTCATCGACTCTGAGTTCATGGCTTCGGTAGCATCCGGCCATGTTCTCTCGACTATGATGTTCTTGTTTCTTAAAGCCTAAGTGTTTGAAACATGCGTATCAAGAACGCCTGGGAGCTCGTTAGCTTGTAAACGAGACGTCGTGCAAATCGTTTCGGACTTGTTGTGCCTCTTTGGACGCCAGTTGACACTTGCTGAACTTTTTAGTAGCCTCTTGGCTATAGGTCATGGAGCGCGTGACACTATTCGCAAAATGCCTACACCAGAATCGGGCGTTTTCCCAGCATCAATGCAGCTCTGCAGCCAGGTGCACAGCGCACACCTTTGTTAAATTCATAGGTTGATCGGTGATGGCTATGGTGACGCGGGGGTTGGAGGGTTGGCACACCCTTGTTCCACATGTTGTGTGCGCATGCTAAGAGACCTAGCCAGGCTATTACATTAGTAGGGGCCTGCCAGCGGTCGCCCACACAGCCCTGTGCCTGGACATGCGCGAGTGGTGAAAAAAAGGACGGACGACAGGCAACCACTCAACCAAGGCAGTCGCGGGAAGCGCTGGATACCGCCGTCGCCGACGCCGACGCCGACGACGACGCCGCCGCCGACGACGACGACGACGACGAGGACGACGACTACAGGAGTCAATGTCCCTACCACAAGCTCGGGACATGGGGCGGGCGGTGGAGGGAGGAGAAGGAGGAGGCTGATGAGAAGGCGGAGGCGGAGGAGGGGGGGGGGGGCAAGAGGAAAAGGGAGGAGGAGGAGGAGGAGGAGGAGGAAAGGAGGAGGAGGAAAGGAGAGGAGGAGGAGGAGGAGGAGGAGGAGGAGGAGGAGGGAGGAGGAGGAGGAGAAGGAGGAGGAGGAGGAGGAGGAGGAGGAGAGGAGGAGTGAGGAGTGAGGAGGAGGAGGAGGAGGAGGGAGGAGAAGGAGGAGGAGGAGGAGGAGGAGGAGGAGGAAAGGAGGAGGACGAGGAGGAGGACGAGGAGGAGGAAAGGAGGAGGACGAGGAGGAGGAGGAGGAGGAGGAGGAGGAGGAGGAGTTAATGTAAGACCTTTGCGCTTTTCTTTCTGGGAGCGTCCTGGAGGCCTTCTGGGGCCATTTCTAGGGGCCCTCTTGCGGCCACCGTCGGCACGGCGCGGTCCCCGGCGAGAGCGCGGGCGCGCGCGCGCCAAGGTCGCTGAGGAGCAGCATCGCCGAGCAGAAGGCCCAGAGGACCGGGCGGGGGAGGAGAAAGAGGGAAGGATGGAGGAGGAGGAGGAGGAGGAGGAGGAGGAGGAGCAGGAAGAGGAGGAGGAGGAGGAGGAGGAGGAGGAGGAGGAGGAGGAGGGCGGAGGAGGAGGAGGGCGGAGGAGGAGGAGGGCGGAGGAGGAGAAGGGCTGAGGAGGAGGAGGAGGAGGAGGAGTATGAGTATGAGTATGACCATGTGACAGAGTCAGCTGTGCCAACATCACGTGACGAATTACACATGAAGGCATGACTATACACGACCACGGCTCTGTTTCTCACGTGCACTTAAAACCTTAGGCCATAAACCACGTGAAATCCGATCGAGATATACAGCTCGATGCGTGGTGACACGCTTGGTACAGGCCTTGCCAAGTTCACGTAGGACCTCGGAGGCAAACGAACCGCACAACTTACAATACCAGAGCTTAAGCTGTGAATGATACTGCATGGCATGAGATAGATCCACCCACCCCCCCGCTATGTGCAGACGTGCCATGGGGGGCTTATAAAGGATGGACCCATTATAATTAACGGGCTGGAAACATTCTGACTGGCGCCACTTTGTTGCAGCAGCCCTGCTGGCCGATCCACAACAAGTGCACCTCCTCCCACTCTCATCGAGAGCGTGAGAGGTAGAGAAGAGGGAGTGGGCAGCAGGAGAGGGAGGACGGGGGACGGAGGAGGATGATGCTTTTTCCTGAGCACCAGGGGCCGCATCGGCCTCCATCGCGTCGATCGTCGCCCTCAGCAGGCGCAAACGCACAAGCCTCGCTCTCCGCTCGTGGATGAGAATACGCTGGCGGAGAGACTCTGGCAGGCGAGCAGCGTTGGCCGCGGCTCCCGCCACGACATCAACAATCGTGTTGCCAGTGACCGCCCATCTCGGAGCGGCCCCAGCCTGGATCTCCGCACCCCCGAGGTGGGAGTGCACGAAAATCCAAGAGACTGAATTGAAACCACGCTCCTGCATGAGTTGTCCGAGCTGAGCCCGCAGGTCCGCATCTGGCCCGCTCGGACACTCGAAACGCCTGGCATACCAGCCTTTGATGACTGGCTCACAATCCGTGACATAAGCGATGCAGCCGCTCGTAGCCCAAACAGCTAGAAGCAAGCTCCTTAGCTCTCCGCGGGGGACGGCCTGCCTGTCACCGCAGAGTGGCCCACTGATGGTCCCTGCGATGGACGCTGCGGGCTCCAACTCGTGGAAAAGTGCGATGGCACATCCAACGCGGCGAAACTTGGTGACAGCAGTGTCGGGGCCACCGCTGGCGTCGCCAAAGAGCAAAAGCGGAGCCTGGCCCGTGCCATGTCCAAGGCATCCTGGGCCCAGCTCGAAAGGACCTGTCACAACCCAGGCCTCATCGCGGGCAGGAGGTGGGACAGCCACCCATGGGGCAGGTAGCAGCCCCCTTAGCCAAAAAGCTTGCTCAGCCTCCGCTTGCACTGTGGCCTGGTACACTAAATCCTCTGTCATGGTGTACGCCTCCTTATTAGAGTTATAACTGCACGTCCAACTGCGATGAAGAGGCGTCTCTGGCTCAAGCTGGCACCGAGGGCACTTGTCAGTGCCAGCAAAACGTGGGATTTCTGCCTTCTTCCTTGTACGCGTCCACGTGCTACCAACTGCGACCGACAGCATAACTTCACTGAGCCGATGACCGATCTGCGGGACATCATGTAACTGCTGAATCAAAACACGATCGGAGTCGACATCAGAACCATCCTACAATCCTTCACCACAGTAGTGCTGACCAGCCTGTTGCCAATACCGTCGCTGCAGTACATCCGAACAATCTTTGAGGAAACCGGTATGGCTGTCCAAGGCCTTCACTCCAGTATACATCGCATCATCAAGTCTCCACTCATCACCTGCAAACTCATGGGGCTCTGGGATACCCCACCCTGTAGCCGAGGACACAAACCATCCCGACTCGATAAGATGTAAAATGGCTGCTGAGACTGGTCCTCGGACATACTTGGTGCGGTGCCGTTCTGGGACTCCCCGGAGCTGCTGTACAACTGTCTGCCAAATACGAGACACCCCTGACCGTACACCAGGATGGTCACGCCAGATGGATAGATACATGTCTAGGCACTGCACTTGGAGCTTGACGCCTGGATCCTGCTGCGGCGCTCGGATCGCCAACAGCGTTGTCAAGCACCTGCCCCGCGTCGGCGCCGCGCACGCAAGCCCCAGCCGTCGCCGTGCCTGCACCAGCCTCTGGCCGAAGGTCCCGTGCACCTGGAAGCCGTAGGTGCCCGCAGCCTGCGCGCCCTGGAGCTCCAGGCGGCGCGTTGCCTTGTAGCGACGCGCCGCCCTGGCGAACCTCCCGATCTTCAGACTCATGCCCTTGTGCTTAGTGTCCCTCTTGTTGCGCGTGGAGCGTGCTGCACGAATTCCGCAACTGAGGTCCACTCCAAGGAAGCTCGCCTGAGACTGAGCCGTGATGTGGTACCCTGCCTGTCGAACAGCACGAGCCGCCCATCTCGCATCAGCAACATCAGTACACATGACTACCGACTTCGGGGACACCCGCAACCTGCTGGCCTCCAGGGACCTGCAAGTGTCCAAGATGCAGGCCTTCAGCCCGCGACGGATGTGTGCTCGTGATCCTCGAATCTGTTGTGAGAGGTCGTCAACCCACACTCGATGGCTCACCAGCGGATGGTCCCCAACAGCCCGCTTCAGCACGAAATGAGTGAGCGTCCGACCGAATCTAGTGCCCGACCGCAGCCCTTGGACAATGCTGCGCGTGGGCTGAAATGGGGCGGATGTCGCCCCCAACTGACTGAGCACCCGTGGCGACACGCACTGGAGAAGTCCCATGTATAAAATTACTGGTGGAAGCTGCATCTCCAGCGCGGACTCAACTAGGTATGGCCACTCGATCGAGTCGTAGAAGCCATCGGTATCAACTAAAGCATTGCCCACATGGACGTTCAAGTGGCCACGTACCTCTTCCTGAACAGCACGGAGATGCGCTTCTCTCACACCGGAATTGCCCCGCACCGCAGCATCCCAACGTTCCTCTGTCTCCGCCGACCGCCCTCGCACCAGCGGTTCCCTGATCAAGGACCAGAGGCGGCCGAGAAGCGGAACCAGTCCGATGATCCGATCTCCTCGCACCTTCTTGGGGGGCACCCTCCCCAAGATCAAGAGAAGTTGGCCAGGCCAGCACAGACGAGCCTCGCACGCTGTGAAAAGCAGCGCGGGTTCAGCAAGTGCCGTGTCTGGTAACCTTTCTAGATCAACTGGCGATGAGAAATCGACCCCCTGCCCTGTGGATGCCTTCATCTGCTTCAGCGCCGCCCTGATGTCACGCGCACTGATAGGCTCCAGAGGGTCACCTTCCACAGCGTCCTCCACCTTCTGGAAAACTCTCATGACCATGGCCTCGTCGAGTGGGGCGGGCGCCCACTTGTCGTGCCACTTGGTTGACTTGGCACCGACGATGTCACGAGGATGGCAAAGAACCTGGCCCTGATGCTCGTACTCAAGATCCACCAGAGGGGTAGGACATAAAGATCGGTGCAATATCCCCAACGACTTCTCGTCAGTCACAAACTTCTGAAACTCACACTAGGACTGCTGAATGGCTCTCCTCTGGGCCCGACTGCAGACTCGTTTTGCTCCATGTACGAGGCCCTCCAGCATGCGCACGGAGCACGCACCAATATCTGAAAGAGCAGCCTGCCACCCATGCCACTCGAGATCTTTGCCTGGTAGAAGAACAGTGTGCACGCTCAGGACAAGTCTCAACGTGCCTCTTGACCGATTCGCGATAACGTCGTTGCTGGGCCTCTCCGTGGTTCTTCCTACGGTGATGCGCCAGCGCGCACAGTAATGTGTTTAGTTGCGTCCACCAGCCACTCAGCCGATCCCGCAGGGGCGACGTACGGCTCTTGGCTGACATCTTCAGCTCCTGCACCACGAAATGTACTCCTGCTGATCGGGGAGGCCCAGCGGGCAGCGAGACACCATGATGACTGGCAATCGTGGATGCAACAGAAGACACCCAACTGGCGTAGAGGCCTGAAACTAAAGACAATTGTGCGGGTTTGAGCCTAAAGACTACGGGGGGACGCAGGGCAGGGCGAAGAGGGTCAAGGGACGGAGATCCAGACATTAAACCTACCTCCTGACGGACCCGCTCCCACGTGGCCTCAGGAATGTGGAGGGTAGGAATATTCTGGTCAGAACTCGACCCATGCTCAGGAGAAGCCTGCTGCTGCGCGCTACTGTCGGCCGTCCCCGAGCTACCTGCAGCTCCAGAGCGCCCATCCGAAGCCTCTGAGGCCCCGGGTCGAAATGGATGCTGGGAGTCCAGGATCTCGTTAGTCGGCAGACGGCCAACCAACGGAGCGTCCCTAGGGGACCGACCAGGGAGAGGGCCAGTGGAGGCTCCCTCGACCCCAAGGCCCTGGACCCCAAGACCACCTGGACCCCCAGCGTGAGAAATACCTTCATGCAGGGCCGCGTTGAGGCCAGAATCGGGGCAGAAGTTGAGCTCCTGCGCCCACGGATCCCCCTCATCCTGCAGCCCTTCAGAAAAATCAAACCCAAACTCACACTCATCAAAATACACAGCACTAGCCTCAGCAGAGGTGGGCTCACCCCTCGAGCTCGCCGCTGCTGGCTGTTCCCTGTGATATTGAACGCAATCCCCATACAAGGTGTGAAACTTTTCATTTCTAGAGGTCACTGCTATTTGCTGCTGCACCACCCTACGCGCATGTGCAACACTTGACTTCGAACCAGGAGTGGGCATGCACGACGGGCGCGGAACCTGGGGCAGGCGTCCTGGAGCCTGCATGACTCTAGTGACAAGCTGCTGCCCAGAGTTCCTAAACATCACCTCCAAACCTATGTGGGGTCTCCAAGGGACTGAATTGGAAGCACCTGTAAGATGAAGGGCCTTGCCGCAAAACTACACAGGATGGAATATCTGTGTGTGCCTGTGGACAAGAGGCAAGTGGCTTCAACA